TCCTAAAGGAAAATTTCCCCATGAAATATTGATATAAACAACGAAAACAAAACGCTTTAACATTTTCATTATTTATATCCCTGCCATTTTTCTTTTTACAAATGGTGTATAATTGCCATGTATTTCATGTCTCTTTTATCAATCACTTCTCAGCAATGACTTTCAAACAATAGTAAATGCAATAGGTCTGAAAACCAATAGAAGAACAAGCCAGGAACCAAAAAGACATAGATCAGCAACTGGCAATCTTCCTGGCAGATATATTGAGAGCACAGTCTTTTGTCCTTCCACATTCCGTAGAAATTAAAGGAGTTGAAACAGATTCACAAATTCACAACTTTGTACAACAGAAGAGTAAGTATTACAATTTAGGCAACTTTTTTGGTCTATTATGCCCTGGATCTGCACACCAGAGCCACAGATATTCATCCAGTCAGCAGGCAGCTGCGTCCATAGTCTGTACCCCTCAGTAGCAAGTCCCCAGCCACTACAACTATCTTTCTCCTCCTCCTCCTGTAAGGGATGAATTGAGTCACCTGTAGTCTTTACGGGCCTTCCTTCCCATCTACTGTAGCCTGTTGCTGCCCTCTTGCGTGGAAATATATGGAAAGTAACTTCTTAGTCCTAGTGGTTGAGAGTGCCTTCTAGCTCTCCTGCTCCTTTCATTCACACAAACACTCATGTAATAGTTCTCATCTTCCCCCTGCTTTTGCCTTTGCTGTAGTTCCCCTTGTGTCCAAAAAGTCCTCAACTTCTTTAACAAGGCTAAGTGTGCTGGCGCCTCTTACCATTTATTTCAGCAGAGCAGCCAGGTGCCCTCAAGGCAGGACTTTGAGTCAGAAGACCAGCACAATGATCAGGGGTGGTTTACCACATTTTTGAAAAAAACAAATCCAAAGTGGGGGTGGGTCAGCCCATCTGAATAACTGAAGTAAGATACTCCCCCTTTCTGGTTGCAAATTAAGACTATTAACTCCAGAGCTGCAACACTTCTTATACTTGCTGCATCTATGATGGTTTCAGAAAATAAGCAAAGTACATGCACCGCTAGTCACCACCACATAAGCCCTTGCTCTCCATCTTCTTAGTTCTTGCCAATGTGCCAAACCAAGGGTTGCTAAGTTTGGGTTTCTGAGCGAGTGCCATGAGTGCCATTTGGTCATTTCTCCCCTGTCCCCAGAGACAGAAAGGGGGAAAGTGCATGCACACCTCTTTCAAATGCTCACTCTGCCTTGAAGCTCCCTGTGTGACCTTGGAGCAGTCACTCTTTCTCTCAGCTGAACCTACCTCACAGGGTTGCTGGGAGGATAAATGTGGAGAGAGAACTGTGGGTAGAACTTTGAGCTGTTTAGATGAAAGGCAATCTATAAATATAATATTGAAATCAATAAATATTCAGTGTCAAGAGTGAAAATTCAAGGTGTGCAATTAGTTAGTGATGATCTACTGATGGGTCCTGCATCAATTCCTGAGTGGAAGTTTTCTGTGTAGGATTTGCAATGTGTAAAAAGGCTCAGAGGTTCTTCCAGATGTCAAGATATTTTAGCCAATGATTCTGGAAAACCAGAACTGAACCAGCGTTTTTGAAAGGCATTAATCTGCTGAGAACAAAAATCCCTTAATCTCAAACATACAGGGCCTATTGCATAAAACACACCCAACTTTAATGAGACTATTATTAATGGGCTCTAGCTAGCTTAGATGGAAAGGGCATCACAGGCTCATACTTGATGTGGATTCTGAGATCTTGCCCAGACAGCACCAGGTATTACAAAATCAAGGCCAAGTACAACCACGAAATCATTCTAGCACCTTATATTAAAGCATCTTTAAGATTAAAGTATTCTTCAAAAAGACATAAACATAATGCAGATAATTTCCCTACCTTACAATCCTTTTTTTTTTTTAAGGGGGGGATAATAAACTAATTCTGGACTTTATTTTTGTTTGGGATTTTTCTCCCTTGTGGTTACAGGGAAAATGGAGAATTAACGTTCCTTAAATTTGAAGGAGTTAAAACAAAATGAGCATATTTCGTGGAATGTAAAAAGAAAATGACAGTGCTGGTGCTGATGACAACTCCTACATTTATATCCCAACTTTCCCATAAGAAGTTGTCAACTTCCCCCTGCCAGTATCATCACAAAAACCCTGTGAGATAAGTGAGGTTGAGAGATAGTCATTGGCCCAAGGTCACCCAATGAACGTCATGGCTGAATGGGGATTTGAACCCGGATCTCCACATCCCTAGTGCAAAACCACACCGTGCTGGCATTTCATATCATACATACACTACTAAACATAACTGCAGAAAGAGTCCACAGGGATAGCAATCCAAGGCAGTCATCGTAAAAATGAAACGCTCCAGTCCCAACTGCACTGTTTTCACTCTCACAGCTGCACAAACTATCCAGTGTTTTAATCCTTTTCCAGTCCTGTTGTTCACTCCTTGGTCAGCACAGCAAGCCAACCCATTCCTACCTACATTTGGGGGTGTTTAAGGGTGTCTCAAGCTGGGCTGCATGCATCCTCGCATTTTCCTTCTGAAGGGTCACCGCACTATCCCCTTCTGAGAGCTGGAGTGAAGAATTTTGCCTTAGATAAACATTTGGCTGCATAAAAGGGTAGGAGCAAAACAGTACAGTAATAGGACTTGCTATTGACCCAGAGTGAACAAACAATCTTGTCACGTTTACAGGATACATGCCGGGGGGGGAGGGAGTCAGTTCTCTCTTTAACATCTCTAAGCAGATTCTAGTCAGCATTTTTTATTTAACTGAGAACAAATGATCTCTGTAGTCCACCGCGTGACCACTACTGGGGCCCTCTGGAGTGACTGTGGCAAAGGATGCATACAATCTATGTAGAGACCGAAGGTCCCAAGGCCCTGCCACCACTCCCCGAGCAGACCTCATCCCTCTGAGTTATTTCAGTGCAGGGAAGGCCATGCTGCCACATTTGAATCTACAATGAACTCAAAACATGTTTAATTACCACAATTGCACTTCCCAGGCCCATGGATCTATAAAAACTATAATTCTGGTCCTACCGGAACTATAGATTTATAAAATCTATTGATATACTATAGATTTTTATAGATCTTGGGTAGCGCATTGTGGATAATTAAACATGCCAGTCAGCCGCTATAAATGAGAGCCAAGCTAGGGTGGCATTCACATCCAGTGCTGAAACAGCTCCAGAGACCCACCTGGAAGTGTGGTGAGTAGCGGCCCAGGAGGAGGGAGAAGAGTGAGGTGGCCACCATCAGTGGCGGAGCTTCATGCTCCGGCACCAGGGGGGCGGAGAGCAGGCGAGGGTGGGGCTGGCGCGTGTCCCAGGGGCATGGTGCGCTGTCTGCAGGGGTGTGGCACTCATCCTAGGGGCGTGGGACGCCGCCTGCGGGGATGTGGCGCCCAGTGCGGGCAGGGAGGCAGCTGCGATGGCACCCCAACTGGATCACACTGCCGGGAGCAGTGTGCTCCCCCCGCACCCCTCTTCCTCAGCCAGTGGCCACCATTATGCATGGCAAGGAACAGGGCAGATCTCTTGCTCTGGTTGGGGGTGGAGGTTGGTGCAGGTATTGCTGCCCCTGCACGTGGTAGCGGGTAAGAGCTCTGGGGCACATCGACAGCACTGTTGTGAGCCCCCGAAGGCTGGCACTAGCCCTGCATGAAAGTCTCCCTTGTGCATTCTTTCCTGTCCTTCCTTCAGTTGGAAGAATCAACTGAGACAGCTGTTATGTGTGAATATGCATTTGGATTGGATGCATTATGTTTTACATAATCGTTATGTAGAACATATGCCTATCCCTGGTCTTCCACCTGTCTGGGCCGGTGCCTTAAATGGGCCGTAAAACCCAAAGCAAATTCCTTTTTCATTCCTCCCATTCTGGTATACACTTGGGGGGTAGTAATTTGTGTTTTAAGAAGCAAAGAAAACCGCTGTGCAACTCAGCATATCTAAGGCGGAGATATAACAGGATGGGATAGAAAATCCAGCCAAATGGCAGAGACTTCAGCTTTCGAAAGAGGCAGCTGTGGATGAAAAGGTCAACTAGTTTCGTTGTTGAAGTCAACACAAATCTCCTGAACGCTGTTAACCTTAATGCATGTGAACCCAGCATCCCCGATTTAGAGTAATTGCTTTTATACTGATGCAGCATAATGGTGTCCAAATGACACCAAATCCAGCATTCCTTGCCACTAGAGCTATCACTATAAGCAAACATGGCATTTCAAAAATGCGCTTCTTTTCTAGAGCCTTAATAGACTTTGAGGTGCATTCCTACTGACCACAGCAACTTTTCACACAGAGCAGCTGTTTCAAACCAGTGGCCAACTTTAACTAGGACAATTCAGAAATCACTGAAACAACTTTGGAAGAAAGGAGGGGGGCAGGCTTATTTAATTGCAGTTTGTCCTAGATAAAACACCTGTGCATTACTAAAGAGCAATTGCACCAAACCTCTGTCATCTGTGTATTTGGTGCTTGGTGCAGCTTACGATGGACCTACCTTTCTGAAACAAACCAGGACTGGATGGAAGACTAGAATGGATGGAAGACTAGAATGGAAACACATTTCCACTTGGGCTATGCCTGGAAAGCTGGAGCCGAGCAGTTTCCCCCTTACCCCGCTCCTTTCCAGTGGAAAACACACTCTTTAACCATCAATCGGAACAAATGGCAATCCAGAGGAAACCTGAATTGCCATTTGTTTCCATTGGGTGCTATAGAGTGGTTTTCCCTGGGGGGAAGCAGCAGAACAAGAGGAATTGTGGATAAGACCTTAGTGTAAACTGCCTTGAATTGACAGGATGTGCTATATACTAACAGTGTACTCATTTTCCAAGTCTTGGAAGCAAAAGTGACACCATCCACACTGTTGTTAGCGGGCTGAGGGCATCCCAAGATTTGAAGTAGTACAGAAAAACTTTGGGGGCTACCTAATAGAAAGGGGCTCATAAATGGGTCGGTGAGGACTAAGCATACTCACTAGTTGAACCTAGGATAACTCAATTGGTAGAGCATGAGACTCTTAATCTCAGGGTTGTGGGTTCAAGCCCCATGTTGGGCAAAAGATTTCTGCATTGTGGGGGGCTGGACTAAATAATCCTTGTGGTCCCTTCTGACTCTGCAATTCTATGACTAGGCACAGAAAACGGATTGACTGTTAGGGGTAGAAATGGAGAAGGGGTATGTAATAGTATCCTGTTGAAAGGCTGGCTGGCTGGCTGGCGCTAAATAGCAGTACTCCACACGGCAACGTTTTGTTATAAATATGGATAAATGTGCATGGCATAATTTGTTCTGGGGCTCAACTCCAGGTTGTCTTCAATTCCAGGAAACAATACTATATATAGAGGTGCTTTCAGGGCAGATGCAGAATGAATTTTCCTCTTCTTTATTAGTAAAAACATTGCATGAGCCGCACATTAGGGTAAGGTTCTCCAGCAAACCAGGGGAACATCTATTTTCTTCTGGCACATCACTGGCATTTGGGTATACACAGCAGTCATCTATTTTGATGACAGCGTGTTTTTCATGTCGCTTTCTCTATCAACAGAACTTGCTAATCTGTAGTCTTTGTTTACTTACTTGTTTTATCTCCCACCATTTTTCAATGCAGGGGCTCAGGGCAGCATGCGTAAGGCCCTCCATGAGGTCTCGCATCGGGTCACTGACCCAACACAGGCTTGTTTAGCTTTGGCAAGGCTGCTGTGGCGTGTATCTTCCACATGTCCTGAAGATGCTGCAATTTCCTCTTTACCTAGCATCCAGGACAAGTTGCAGAAATAAAAGCTGTAAAAATAATCAAACTAATCAAGCCCATACAACTAAGATACATTTGCAATAGATCCCTACCCCAGTCTCAGCATAACCACTTAATTATTTAATCAGATATTTAAAATGAATGGATTTCAAATTAACTGGATTTCTTTTTAAGCATCATGAAAGGAAAATATAAAAGCAGCTGAATCGCATTTCTACTTTCTGTTGCTGTTGTTCATCTTCATGCTGAGACACAGAGGAGTAAGAGTGTGGAGAAACTTCCTGGATTGTAAATAGGTCCCCTAGGAATGTGGGGGGCAGGTAAAGGTAAAGGGACCCCTGACCATTAGGTCCAGTCGCAGACGACTATGGAGTTGCTGCGCTCATCTCACTTTACTGGCTGAGGGAGCTGGCGTTTCTCCGCAGACAGCTTCCGGGTCATGTGGCCAGCATGACTAAGTTCCTTCTGGCGAACCAGAGCAGCGCATGGAAATGCCGTTTACCTTCCTGCCGGAGCGGTACCTATTTATCTACTTGCACTTTGATGTGCTTTCAAACTGCTAGGTTGGCAGGAGCAGGGACCGAGCAACGAGAGCTCACCCTGTCGCAGGGATTTGAACTGCCGACCTTCTGATCGGCAAGCCCTAGGCTCTGTGGTTTAAAAATATGAGAAAACTTACAAGGTCTTGTACAATAGAATAGATCCCAGGGCATAAAGTCTGTATATAGAATCTGATGAGAGAGTACTGGGATTCTGAAATAGTGGGGATTTTAAAGGGGTGGATAATCAGTCATAGCAGCTCAAATAAATTACTAAAAGTAGCTTTAACAAATTTAGCCTTAAAGTAAAGGGGGGGAGAAATGTATTAAAATATTTCACACAAGGCTCCTCCAACACCTTCTTTTTATTGTGCATTCATGATTATTTCTGCTCATTATGCTATTGGGGCAGTCACCTGCAATCCCAGTTTCAGTACCTTTCGCACCTGCAAGTGTTGGCATGGTCACACTGCTTCATTTCCAGTCAGTGCATATCCCACAACTTCCTGCTGAAATCCTGTAACTTTCAATATGATACATGTTCTGGATTATTTTTGCCCATTGCTGTTGCGCTATAGCCCCATATAAAACATTACACAATCATAGAATCATAGAATAGAATCATAGAATCATAGAGCTGGAAGAGACCACAAGGGCCATCGAGTCCAACCCCCTGCCAAGCAGGAAACATCATCAGAGCACTCCTGACATATGGTTGTCAAGCCTCTGCTTAAAGACCTTCAAAGAAGGAGACTCCACCACACTCCTTGGCAGCAAATTCCACTGTCGAACAGCTCTTACTGTCAGGAAGTTCTTCCTAATGTTTAGGTGCAATCGAAGCAGCATCATGCTATTTTAAATAATCAGTGCTCACTTCAAAGAATCCTGGGAAGTATAGTTTGTTAAGGGGACTAAGAGTAGTTAGGATACCCCTATTCAACTCGCAGAGATACAATTCCCAGTGTTCCCTGGGAGGAGGGATTGACTATTAAGCCACTCTTTAAATAAGTCTCTAGCCCTCCTAGAAAGTTAGCAAGCAAAATGTGCAGATACCATTCTAATCAATTTCTGTGAAATAAATCAGGCCACCTGCTCCCACCTTTCAGTGTTTTTATCCAATGAATGAAGTCAGAGCTGTGGGTTGATTTGTTTGGACACAAAGCAATAGGGATATCCGGGGTCCTAAAGATCTCCTCTTTCCCCCTTCCCATTAGTGCACCTTTCCTGTTTCTGTCTTATTTTCTAGTCCTTGGATTCTCCATAGTTTGCTCTTCCTTTCCCCCTAACAACAAAATTTCTTGCAGTGGATTTGTCTGAGATTTTCTGCAACTACTACGGCACAATAATCATGAGTAGATGTTAAAGAATCTCCCCTCTCCCCAAAACACATATCGGAAAACTTTACAAAGAGACGTAAGCATGTCTTCTGCTGTGCAGGAGCTGAACACCGGGCACTTATTAAGAATTCACTATATAGTTAATTTACAGTACAATTGTATGCATGTCTACTCAGAATTAAGTCTCTATGTGTTTATTGAAGCAACCTAGGCTTTGGTTTATGGTTGGCATAGGGGGAAAACAGGGTTCTTGTGCCTTTCATTGCTGCATGGGAGGCAGAAAAGGTTAAACCTTTTCTAGAATAGAAATACAATGATAGTTAACAAAGTTACAGAGAAACCTTCCTTATGACTGTGATGTCTAATTTTGTGTCATGTCATGCCTCTCATGGCAGCCATGTTGTGTTATGCTATACCAGCCATTTTGTTACTGGCGGTAATAGCACTCTCTCAAAATTCAAAATGCTCCACTAGTCCAAAAGGGTTGGCAACTCCTGGTCTAAACTGTTAGAAATTACCTTGGTAACAACATTCCGGATAGAGCTAAAAGGGTTGAAGTGTGGCCAGGGAAGTCAAGGAGTAGACACCAATGCAAAAGGCCCAAATTGTGCTAGAGTTTGATGCAAGTATAGCATCAGGGATTCAGAAATGTTAAGACTATGCTTCACTTCTCCACTGTTGAAATGGTCAAGGTTTCCTGTTCACTTTTAAGTGTGCTTAAAATTCAGATTTATTTCGTAATACACTTTAACCAGCAATTCATTAAAATAAAAGGAGATGATCCATTTTTTTATTCTTCTTCCTTTCATTTCTACGCCGCTTTATATTTTTTAAGAAAAAAAAATCTCAAGGCAATTTTCAGCCTATATTAAAGCATCAATAAAACATTTGAGAATAAAACATTACAGTGGTGCCCCGCAAGACGAATGCCTCGCAAGACGGAAAAACCGCTAGACGAAAGGGTTTTCCGTTTTGAAGTTGCTTCGCAGGACGAATTCCCCTATGGGCTTGCTTCGCAAGACGAAAATGTCTTGCGAGTCTTGAGATTTTTTTCGCTTTTCCCCTTTATCTAATCTGCTAAGCCTTTAATAGCCTTTAATAGCCTTTTAGCAGCTAATCCCCTAAGCCTTTAAGCCTTTAATAGCCGCTAAACAGCTGATAGCGCTAATAGCGCTAATCCGTCAATGGGCTTGCTTCGCAAGACGAAAAAACCGCTAGACGAAGACTCTTGCGGAACGGATTAATTTCGTCTTGCGAGGCACCACTGTACTCAAGAAAGGCAAATATAAAGTATACATTCAAAGCAACATAATAAACACGGAACTAAAATATTATCGCAAAGATTTCAAAACAGAACCTTGCAAAGAAGGTCAACTACAGAATGCACATTTACTGCAGCAAAGTTAGCAACAACAAAAATTATCTTAAACGTTTCAAAAGAAAACATTACCAAAGGAAATCAAATATAAAATGCACATTTAAAACAGCATAATTAGCAAGAGAATAAAATACTATCACAACCATATACCTGAAATTCCCATCAACAACAAAACCTCCTCTAGAAACACAACAGTCCTCATCCGACCTCCTGGATTTTTAAAGCAACAATGTGGAATGTGCCCAAATATTTCCAGGTGTGGTAGAAGGAGTTTGAACACAGCACCCCAGCATCCCAAAGAAAATTGTTTTCCATGCAGAGATATGCATTCTTCAAATCCTTTCTACCACTCTTAGAACATATGCATGTGTTTGGCCCAAGCAATTCCCAGGTACTGTACTGCACTCCTGTGATAAAATTTGAACCATTTATTAACATAAACATGATGCTCTGAAATAATCTGTGGCAAAAAACTCATAACCTGTGCACTCATTTAGCATGCAAGCATCTATCTTAAGATGCCAGCAGCTTTGTTTTTATGTCTTGCTCATCAAAACAAAAAAACAAAAAAAAGTTGAATGATAATTCTACAAAAACTAGAATACTCTGCCAGGTGGTGCCAAAGTAATATATCTCCATACTGCTAAATTCACCCATTTTACCACAACTGAAAAGTAAGACAGACACAACCTTTATGCCACACATAACATATTAAATAATACCTTTTGGTGCATTATGAGCATTAGAAAATAGGAAAGTCTGCTGTGGTGCTAGCAAAAGGGCCAGCAGGTGGTGCTGTGCAGTGAGGTCAGCAGTTGCAAGCAGGAAAAGTTGTGTTTTACCTTTCCCAAAGTTGTGTCTTGGCTGTTTGTTAATCCTAGATTTCTAATAGTACATTGGCCAATGCATCGCAATTGTAGCCAGACTATTGAATTTCTGAGAACTTTGCTTAAAATTGCATTGTATGCAGGCTGCTTCAACCACTGAGGTAAACTAGGCAGCTAGTGAGGGCAAAATTCCAGAGGCACCTGCCTCAGCCCTTAGCTACCCAAATGCCTTAACTTCCTGCTGCCATTTTGGAGAAGGTAATTTTAGCAGCTCATTGCGTGGATAAGATCTACCACATTCATAGTAACTTTATCATTCCCATCCAAGTAATCCAAGGGTCAGGCTTTAATTTTTCATTTTTGCATTGGAGAAAACTTTGTAGTGTAAGTTGTGCCCAGAATCAGGATAATTAAGGAACGGTAAATGTGTGGGTTTATCGCCTTTTTTCAGGTGAAACGGGAGTTGTAATCTACAACTGGTATCCAAAGGAATGCTCACCACTTGGGAATGCTCAGTAGGATTTTTGGCCTTTTTATTTAAATAGGCTCTGTGCCTTTATCACACATTACTTTAAAAAGTTTCCTGAGTTTCATAAGTGGCTTGCCACGTGTCCTGAAGAAATGCTGACTGAGAAACACAAGCCAAAAGTCTGCTAGGAAACATGGAATTAATTGTTCTGTTCTTTGCATTCTGGCCTCTGTTAGGGATCACGCACTAAAATTCAGAAGTCCAGATTATTTCATGTTTCGCAAAGCAGAGTGATAGTTACATTCCTGACATTAAAAATTAAAATAAGAAATTAAATAATATTCTAGTCAATACTTGATTATTTAACACTTACTTCCAAACTATCAGCAAGACAGGTTTCCAATTAGTGTGCATATCTAATACTGGTATTTAAAGTTAGAGTATGGAAAGGTTATTTCTAACATTGTATGCTATGAGATAACCTTTCCAATTCAAGAAGGTGGGTTTTTTATCTTCTTTTTTTTAATGTTCCATTGAGAGTCAGCCAATTTTTTTTTAAAAAAAATCAAATCTGGAGAAGTCAGCAAGTCTGCATAGAAAGCATGTGGAAAGACTGGAATAACAAAGTTTTAACAGGTCTGTCTCTGAGCCTGAACAATTTGTTCTCTCCAGGATATTTCTCTGTGGAAGTCCAGCTCATATTACGAGTGACAGAACACCCACAGAGCAAGTAATAAGCGTGCCTAAAATCAATCAAAAGCAATTATTTTACTGCAACTTTATTTTCTATTGTATTTTCAAAAGATTACAGCATTTTATTAGATATGTTGTTGCTATAAAGTTGTTTTACACAGCACACTGGTTGCACGTACAAAATTGGCACTTTTGTTATTATTTTCTCCTTGATTCTCATTGCTTTGATATTTGAGTGTTACGCTTACTGTGAGTTAGCAGCAAGCTTGCGAGTAGAAGCTAGTTGACCCATTCCAAAAATCTGCATTGTGCCAGCTACTTTGAAACATTATTTTTGCTGCGTTGTATACCTTCAAATTCTTATTTAACTTCAAGGTGGAGAAAAGGGAGAGCTGCCAATAGCTACGACCCAATAGCGCCTTTCACATTATAATTGTGCAGGTCATGACCAGGAAGTGGGGCAACATGGCTTGCTCCATCCCCACCGGCTGCACACACACACACACACACACACACACACACATATCAATGCAGAGATCTACGAACAATGAAGCAGCAATGATGGTCTGGAAGACCCAGACTGGACCCCTGATGGCAAGAGGAAACAAGCTGCAAGGCCACTCTGCTTTTTAAAGGCTCGCTCCCGTCTCCCTGGAGGAAGTGTCTGTAGAATCTTTCTGACAAATGAGAGCCAAAGTCTGTCGGTCAGGAATGTCATGTATCCCAAGTACCCTTTTTGCATTTGACTAGAACTATTGGGAGATATAGATTCAGGTAGGTTGGTCTGACGCAGTCAAAATAAAAAATTAAAAAATAGTCCAGTGGCACCTTAGAGACTAACTAAGTTTGTTCTGGGTACAGTAATACCTCTGCGAATGTCTGCCTTGTCTAGTGTCCATTCCGGCGAATGTCCATGGCAAACCTGGAAGTACCGGAATGGGTTACTTCTGGGTTTGCCGCTCACGCATGTGCAGAAGTGCTAAATCGCACTTTGCGCATGCGCAGAAGCGCAAACTGTTCCGCGTGTGCAGATGTGGCACTTTGCCCTGCATCCTTTTCGGCTAGTGGCCAGGGCTCCAGAACGGAACCCGGCTGCAAAATGAGGTACGACTGTATAAGCTTTCACGTGCATGCACACTTCTTCAGATACACTGAAACAGAAGTCACCAGACCCTTATATATAGTGGGAGGGTGGAGTGGGGTTTTTCTCAGAAAGGTAGTAGGAGATGGGTGATTGACTGAATGGGTATGATAAACCTGTTGACAACTGTTAACGACCGCAATTAGTCCTACAGGGAAAAGCAAGGGATAGTATGCAGATGACCAAAAATAGCTTTAGCATGTGTAATGAGACAAGAATCCAATATCTCTATTCAGACCAGGTCTCTCCATAGTTTTCAGTTTAGTAATAAGTTGTAATTCAGCAAGTGTATCTGAAGAAGTGTGCATGCACACGAAAGCTTATACCCAGAACAAACTTAGTTGGTCTCTAAGGTGCTGCTGGACTATTTTAATATTTTTTTTATTGGGAGATATGCAAGAGCCTGGCTTGGAGGAATGGTGGGACCAGACCCAGGTCCTTCCTCACATGTCGTATCTTCCCTTTACCTGGCTTTTGACACTTGACGTACAAGTGACTCACATCTTGTGCTTATTTTACTTATGCAAGCACAGTTTTGCGTGGGTGGGGAAAATAAATAAATAAATTGAGAGTGGAGAAAGCCCACTCTACAGTTATTTATTCCCCCACATACACACCTGTACAAACAGCTGTTATCCCAGAGTCCTTGCACCACCTTCCCCAAACCAGACAAGCAGCCCTCCACCTGGGAGGGGGACGGGCTCTAGTGGTTCCTGCCTTTACACATTTTTGTGTTTACACGTGGACCCCTGGAACCTAACCCTCGCATAAGATGCAAATTACCTGCATTTATTCTTAGGACCCACCTATATTTTGCTCAGTTTATTTTGCTCTGTTCCATTTGGAAGAGTTTTAGGCATCATTATTTTTATAACAGATACTGTATGTAAGTGTTGTAATCCATCCTGGGACCTTATGGTGAACCTCAGGTAAGAAATCTTATAAGTTTAATATCTCTGGGTACTGTCTCCTACCCTTTAGATGCCCTTCATGTTAAGCAAGACGTAATTCAGTTACTGAGTATACTCTACATCACTTGTCCTCTACCATAACTTTAGCTAACAACTTTTTTTTTTTTTAAGATAGCTCAGAAAGAAAATATCTTGGGGATTTTAGAGTCAATCTCTCTTTTGCCCATTCTGTTAAGTATTTTCATTTTCTGGCCGACTTTACCTGCTGTGAAAAAGACAGGCTTCCTGTGTTTTCTAACCATGCATATAAAGCTCTAAGGATTTTAGACACTTTTTAATATTTTTTTATCAAATATACCTGCACTGTTCCATTTTTTTATGTAACGCTTCAAGAAAAAAAGCATTTACAAGCTAGATTTGAAACTCAAATCCCTTTTCACCTCATTGACTTAAATTTAGGATGAACGAAAAAGATATTTTCCTCTTACAGCTGCCAAAAGGGGGTCAAAAGGTAAAGCAAGCAGAAACCCCCACCCCACAATATTGTTTCTATGGAATCAGTGGTAAAGGCTTTTCCAAGGACAGGAGAAGCTCTATTTAATGCCTCCATAGAGCTTTTAAGAGATTATTCTGGCATATTAGAGTATGATCCCATCGAGTTCAGAAAAGCTGGGAAACAAATATTAAAATTCAGAATGTGGAAGTTACCTTTAGACAGATTCCTCAGTTATATAGCCATTTTCAATATAAGCAGAACTACAGGTGCACCAATATTTTTTGCCAAATAGGGAACTCATCTACCTCATTGGATTTCAGCTGGCTGCTAGAGAACTACAATTTGGTGATATCTCCACCTAAAGTTGAATTACACGCCCCACAGTGGAAACACTCCACTCAGGGAGGGCACATGAAAAGGATGCAACAGCCATGCACTGTGGCCGGGGTCCTTCTCATGCCACTCTCAGAATCCAGCCTCATGAAGCTGTGCTAGGCTGGCTTGGGGAGGGCGACATGAGGAGCATGCCCCGGCTGTGCACCCCTGTGCTACGCCACTGCCTATGCATGTTTATTCAGCATAAGTCTGCATTCAGTGTGCTTACTCCCAGGAAAGTGAGCATAGGATTGGAACCGCTACACTGCTTTGGGATAAAAAGATAGGGTTTGTTTGTACAATATTTACCATCTGGCTTTGCATGTCCTGCTTACAAAGTGTTTACTGCTCTGTCAATTTTGCACATTTAAGGTCGATTTTAATCTCTTTCTTTTCTTTACTCTCCTGCCTCCCCCCTCCGCAAATCTTTTAAACTTGCTACACAGATCTCTGCATGTAGCCTTTGGCTTTATTCATACTGTGAGAACTTTTGTTCGTGATAATTAGTCACTCATTGTGCTCACTGCCAGCTGTTCTTCTGCCTGTTGTGTCTGTTTTCCTAAACTTCAAAGAGACCTTTGAATTTTTTCAATAAAAAATGCATGTTTTTAAAGCAAAGAAGAACCTTCCTCAGCTTTAACGCACACTCTGGGTCATGAGATGTAGCTTGGAGGCAGGTCGAACTGTCCTAAAGTTTTGTTGTGTGTTGTGGGGCAAAAACCACAGTGAAGTTTGGATGTATGACTATCAACTCCCTTCTCTGTTTGAGCATAATATTTAAAATGGGTTTTCCAGCTGTTAGGAACAACTTGAAAAGAATGAAATCTCATCTATGGCTTATCCCCACCTGAGAGAAGATGATAATACGAAGAGAATTCTCTCCTCATCCCATCACAAAAGTTGCGACTAGACTTTCCCTTCCAATTTTTACTGCTTTCGTCATTCCTTATTGTCCATTTTCTCTATCTTCAAATCATTGTTTCACTTTGTTTCTACACCTTGGCCTCAGATAGTAAACCTGTCACTAATCTCAGATACACACACACACTTTCCATGCTATAATTCTGCTGCTGGAGAGTAGGGGACTCATTCCATGCCATGGTGGGTTACAATAGCCAGATTTGTTATCACAGTAGACAGCCATACGCTTCTGTTCCTTTAATTTGTAGTTTTTAATTGGAAGACTTATTTTCTTCTAGGTTGCAGCTTTCTCCTTGACTCCTAGATATCTGACAATGTTAACAGAAATAAGATCACAGTTCCATTCTGGTGACCTCACCTCTCAAATTTCAGTGGTATAATAGCCTAAATTATATTTTATGTCACTCTTCATAATAGTCTGTCTCCTTTACTGCGCATTCCAACTTGCCTCCGAGACAGCAGCAAGTATCACTGCTGGTGTGATTTAAAATCTTGGATGAATACAAGTTCTGGAAAATAAAAGTGTGACAAATGCCTCTATAAACACTGGACATAAATGCTGGAGCTTTATTTTCCAGTTTCTGTTGTGGACAATTACATGTATCTCCACACCATGAAAACTAGGCACTCTTAGGAAATGAATTCTTTTAAGGCCTGAAGAAATTGTGATGCGATTTTTTAAGGGATGTCAAAGTAATAGAAAAGATTTTTTTAATGGATGGGTAAATGGAAGAACTAGATACGAATTGCATCAGCCTAAAAGATAACTAAAGTCTGTAATAATTAATATCAGTGTGGTCTGACAGACAGGTTGGATTACATAGGTTGCCTTCCCCTAAGTAGACACATGTCTACTTTCAACATGTCCATGAGCATGTTGGCATCTGTCTGTCTCAGGAGACAATAGAGGAGTGCGCTTTTGGGTAGATTTTCAGAAATACATAGATACAACCCACAATAATTTCCAGGATAGTTACCACACTTTAAAAACTCATAACCTCAGGAATTCCGTATTAGTTTGCTCATTTATTTATTTATATCCCAGTCTTCCCCAAGGAGCAAATGGAAGCTGGTTCTCCTGCCCCTCCATTTTATCATCACAATAACCCTGTGAGACATGTTAGGCAGAGAGCCAGCGTCACTTGTACAGTAAAATGCCTCTTTAAAGCAGCTGTTCAGTCAGCTTGGCGCAGATAGTGAATGTAAATAATGAACTATTTTACATAGTAGCAGCAGCAGTGGTAGAATAATTAATATACTACTTATTTGCCTGTTTAACTTGAGCTCCCCTTGAAAACTCATAGTAGACAACAGTTTCAGGTGCTCTTGCACATAACCAGAATCCTATCAACCATTTGAAACCTTCAGTTTCCCCATCATCATTTCTCTAACAGCAACCTTTGAAGCATCGGAAAGTTGCTCATTTATGGTCTTGTCTAGTTTATTGGGGAAGAGGCAAAGAATCTGGCTGTTCTTGTTGAGATAGTACACAAAGCCCATGGAAGGCCTGGTTTCACCACCACCCCAGTCCTCTTCACCAGCCTCAGTTGTGGCAACAGCAATAGTAGTGTATTGAATGTGTCTTCCCTGAGTTTCTCCCATGATTTGCTGAGTGTTGTGGCGAGTAGAAGAAAGTCTGTACATTGGATTTGCTTTGCTTATCCCCATCACCACTGCCAGAGGCAGCTTAAGTTTACTATTAATTCACTTCTGCTCAGGTGGGGAGAAGAGGTCTATGTTCTCATTTCAGGCTGTGTAGCATAGGTAGGGAAGGAAGGTGAGATCAACCAGTGCTGGACCTCAGATTTGGGGCTCCCTTGGAGAAAGGGAAGAAAGAACAGAAAAGAAACAGATTTTGGGGCATTCTGAAAACCACATCTACTGTCTACTACATTCCTGTTTACAAAGTCCTTCCTAAGTTAAACTGCTAGAACAGCAAACTGGGCCACTTTCAAAAGGTGTTATTTATCCACAACTTCTAACTTATACAGCAATAGACAGCCTTCCATTCTGGATAAAAAGAGTCCCAGAAATTCCTCTCTCTGAGCTCTGTAAAGGCAGCAAAGCAATACATAATGAATAAGTTCCTCAATAACTCCTCAACCACATGGGCACAGTCTTGCTTCATAGTATTTCATCAGTTCCTAATACAAGCCTGAATACCTTGAGCAACTCACTTTAAAATCTTACTATCCCATCTCTTATTCCATAAATCAAACTTGGTGGATGGAGAGAATGTACCACAATGACCAATTCAAAGTCTGTCTGCCTCAGATGAAACAGTTGCTGCAGCATGGAAGGAACCCTATAATCAGATTTTTGTTAGTATTTCTTTCCAGGAGTGCTGAGACTTGTCAGCAAAAAAATGCTGAGAAAATGCTAACGTACAGCATTTTGTGGTCAATTTGGTGTTCTCATTTGATTTAGCTTTTGCTATCTCCATACCTTGCACTTCTTGTAAGTTATGAGCCAAGTAGAAAAGAGTGCAACCTTGAAAGTATACTTGCTACAGCTTTTAAGAAGTTTTTAATAATATTAATAATAATCCTGGACACGCCGGGTATTCCTGTTATATACCTGCTGGGATTGACAAGGCATCTGACCCTCACCTGAATCTCATAGCTCTCCTGACGAGTGCTTTGGTCTGCCCACCAGATTGTTACAATTCCATTCTCAAGTAATCAATTTTAATCTAGAATTTAACTTCTCAAAACTTTCTTATTTATTAATTCGAGCAAATAAACTACTGCTCTCACTTCATTACAAACAGTATTTCTACCTGCAACACACTTGAGCAAATCTGCTCCTCTTCCTTTCACAGATATTTTGTTGCGATTTGCAACTGTAGCTGCCTCTGATTAGTTATCATTTAACTCTTGGGGGAAATAATTCGCACGTCATGTGCATGGAAGTTGCCGAACCAATTAACCAACTAGAAGGATTACTGTTAATAGCACCAGTTTTCCTATAACTTGATATTGCTGGATAGTTTTGATGAACTGCAAAAGCATTTTTAGTTTGCTTTCTGTTGCCACCCTGGAACTTTTCTATATCAGTACCACTTTGTTTTGTACAATTCCTTGCAAATGAAGGAAAACAACTTTTCTGCTTGCTCAGGGGCCATGCTAATCTTCTCTGTATCGTTCCAATTTTAGTATATGTGCTGCCGAAGCGAGCACTTCACGAATTTGCGTGTCATCCTTGCGCAGGGGCCATGCTAAATTGTTTAATGTCTGGATAAGATACAAGGATCTACTTGAAAATAAAACCCCAAGGTGGTTGTCACCGATGGAAGCGAAAGCTTTGAAAAAGCTCAATATGGAGGCCAAATGGCCGAAATATTGGGAAATTTTGGAACAAGAGGGAGACAGATTGAAATTGCAGAGTTTTGAAAAACTAAAAAATAAAGTGCGAGATTGGCTTCATTATTATCAGATAATGGAGGCATATAATTTGGACAAGAAAATTGGCTTCCAGGTGGAAAAATCAAAATTGGAAACAGAACTGTTAGAACCCAAAACCAAGATTTTGTCAAAGATGTATAACTTGCTGTTGAAATGGAATACTCAGGATGAAACAGTGAAATATGCTATGATTAAATGGGCACAAGATGTTGGACATAACATAATGATGGCTGACTGGGAACAGTTATGGACCACAGGTATGAAGTTTACGGCATGTAATGCCTTAAGAGAGAATATTATGAAAATGATATACAGGTGGTACATGACACCAGTCAAGCTTGCAAAAATCTATCATTTGCCCGATAATAAATGTTGGAAATGTAAAGAAACTGAAGGCACATTCTTTCACCTTTGGTGGACGTGCCCAAGGATTAAGGCTTTCTGGGAGATGATCTATAATGAAATGAAAAAGGTATTTAAATATACCTTCCTGAAGAAACCAGAGGCCTTTCTCCTGGGCATGGTTGGCCAATTGGTGCCAAAGGAGGATAGAACTTTTTTTATGTATGCTACAACAGCAACAAGAATACTTATTGCAAAGTATTGGAAGACACAAGATCTACCCACCCTGGAAGAATGGCAGATGAAGGTGATGGACTATATGGAACTGGCGGAAATGACTGGCAGAATCCGAGGCCAGGGAGAAGAGTTGGTGGAAGAAGATTGGAAGAAATTTAAAGACTACTTACAGAAATACTGTAAAATTAATGAATGTTAGAACGATGTCAGAATGAAGTTACGTGGTTTTAGCAGCAATATTACAAAGGAGTATGTAAAAATGGATTGTTAACAGGTGAGAATCTAAAGTTACAATATATTAAGTTAAAGGATTAGGATAAAAACAAAGAGGGAAAGGATTTGCTGAATTAGCTAACTGGATTGGAATACAAAAAAGGGAGGTGTGAGGAGGTCAGGGAAACAAGTAAATGAAAGACAAGACATGGAAAGACTGATTTGTTTTTAAATGCTTTTACTTTTCTGTATTTTGTATTTTTTCTTTTTTTCTTTTCTTTTTCCTATTTTTGTAACCTTTTTTTGAAACTTCAATAAATATCATTTTCAAAAAAAAAGAGAAAAGAACTTTTCTGCTTGTATATATTGATAATATAATTTTGGTTACTGAGGTCAAACAAGATTGTACAAAAACAAGATTGGCTGCAGGCCTGGCCAGGACATAGGCGTCCTGACTGTGACAAAGGTGGCCTGTGTGCTTGCTTGCTTGCTTGCTTGTTTGCATGATTAACAGCTGTTGGGAACTTCAAGGTCCCTGCTCTCCCTTCTTATGCTCTTTGTACTGGACTTGGAGACTCCAATAGAGAGCATTCCATGTCAAGAAGGAGGGCAAGTAGGCACCCTATCAAATAACAGAGCAGGAGCTACACGGAGCAGGGCCTTTTCACTGGTGGTGCCCATTGTATGCCTCGCTCTTCGCAGACCTGCTCTCTTTTGGCCTGTACTTTGGAACTTTATAATTTAGGAAGACTTTGGAAGAACTGGTTGACAAGTCTTATCAGTCACTGATAAGCGGATTTTATTTGCTGCTATTCTGGACTTCTGGTGCACCAGGGTTTACACCAGCATAATAGAGTTGGCCAGGATGCCAGAAGGGATACAATTTACAAGCTTTCTCCATTATCTGCACAGCAGGGGGTGTTCAGTAAACAGTGCAAAGGCTGACCTGAAGCATTCCCTGCTGGTTACCTGCTTTCAGCAGTAGGGATCGCTGTTTGGTAGTACCCAATTGGTTAGCTGTCAGATTCTAGAGCTCCCTATTGGTGGCTCTTAGGTAATTCACAAAATACAGAGTCCATTCATAAAACACAGTGTTCCTTCATAAAGCAGTAACATAAATCTCCATTGCTACATATCGGGTGTATATTTCAGTGGTTGAACGTACAGGTTTATGGCCATGCTGTAGTGTAGTGCTTATGCGACTGTGAATAAAAGGTGGCTGGGCTCATTGTCTCAGGGTATGGGGGGGAAGAGGTGACAAAACTGATTTTCAATAAGTGCCTCCTCCTTTATTTACATAGCAAGTCCTTGAGTCTGTACTCTGAATAGTGATACCAGGGACCTAGAAGGTGTAGGGCTTGTCAGTCCAACCCCTGCAGTCTCATCAGGGCTGACCTTAAGGCAATTGGAGCAATTTGGCCAAATTGGGCCCCGCGTGCCGCTCCGAAGGGAGCCCCTGCACCAGGGCAAGCTAGATAGATTTTATTTATATCTATAAGATTTTGCAGACTTTGGCTGTGAACAGAGCCCCTGCCCAAAAAAAAAAAAATTCAAGTTGCACCCCACTGCTTCAAATTGGGCCTCACTGGCTAGCCCTGAGTCTCATAGTTGCTGGGCCTGAGTTGCCCTGCCCTTGCATGAAGTCTTGGGTTTGCAATTTTGGGAGAGGGGAGGTGGCAGGCTGGCGAGGCCCCCTAGATTTAGAGTCCCTAGGCTTCAGCCTACTTAGCCTATACATAAATCTGGCACTGACAAGGATCCCCAATTCACCCATAGCTGGCTGTTCCTTGATATGTTATGGCCTTGTTGCATTGGCCGTTTGATGACATCCAGCTTCTGTAAGTAGCTAATATAAGGAGACCCCTACTAGATCAGGGATCCAATCTAGTCCAGTCTTTAGTTCTCACAGTGGGCAACCAGATGCCTCTGGGAAGCCCGTGAGCTAGGCATGGGGGCAATAGCACTCCTCTACTTGTGTTCCCAGCAGCTTGTATTCAGAGGCATACTACTTCTGATGGGGTGTATGGGGTCTTAGGGAAAGGGTAGTGCCTCTGGTAGGGACACTTTGCACTCCTTCTGGGGTAGTTTGTCCACCTTTGGCCACCATCCTGGACTCAGTTCTCACTTGTGGCTCCTAGAAGCTTTCAGCAGGTGACAGCAGCCACACCCTGGTTTCAGCTGGTTGGCTAAAATAGGTGAGGCTAGCCAGTGTCTCAAGCCCTTGATGAGTTATGTATGTGAAGATTGAGCAGATGAGACCAATAATGGGTCCAACTGTCAAGAAAGCAGTTGCTGCATGTGCTATGAAAGAAGTGAAGGGAAGATGGGGCTCGTCAGTCTGGAAAGGTAGCCCATCTAGGAGAAGGAAAATTGATCCTAAACCTCCACCACCTTGTGGGGCATCTTCAGGAAAGGAAAAGGCTAAGGGGTAAACCCTACACAAATCCAGGGTGGAGCCTCCTTCCAGCATCTCCTGCAGCCAAGCTGCTGTCAAACATATTGCTCTGCTCTCCTTTGGACCACATCAGCAAGGCCAAGAGTGGGGTCTTGTTGTCTGGGCAAGCCAGGACCTCCATATACACTGCCCAGTCTTGCACCCCAAGGAGGTCACTTCGGTGCAGCTAACACAGCAGTTCGACTTCACCCCCGGAGGTGCACTCCATTGTCTCTCAAGACGAATGGATGCCAATAACTACTTCTGACTCTGGAGATAATATATTATTTTGTCTGTTCTGAATTTTCCAGATTTTGTACACCTCTACCATATTCCCCATTACTCACCTTTTTTTTCTAAACTAAATAGCCCAGAACATTGGAACCTTTCCTTATACAGGTGTTTCTCCAGCCCCTTGTTCTATTTACTTCCACTTTCCAGCACTACAATATCCCTTTTGAGGTGAGATGACCAGAAATTTACACAGTAGTCCAAGTGTGGCCATACTACAGATTTGTCTAAAGGCATTACGATATTGGCAGGTTTATTTTCAGTCCCTTTCCCAATGATCCTAACGTGGAATTCACCTTTTTCGCTGCTAGTTTCAAGCTGCCTCCTATAAATATGCAAAGAAAACAACAGCTGCTTTCAGGGATCATATCTTCTTTCTCACCAAAACAGTGAAAGATTCTAAAGTATAAATAATGCATGGTCCGTCAAGCTCTGAGAATAAATTTTGTCTTCTGCTTTGCTTTCCTTCAAGGTATGACAATTTAGGAAAGAGTTTGGACAGAAACCTTCTCTACTTCTGTTGATATAAACATGCTCGGCATCTCAAACCCCCTGCCACAGATCCTTAAGTTCAACCGACAGGAGCTGGAAAAGCATTTTCCAGGAGACAGACGCCACCCCATATAAACGTCTCCCCATAAAGATAGAATCGCATAAACATTGGCAACAATGGAGAAGGCTCAAACCAAATTCACACAGGGACAAAACCACAAGCAGATCCAAAATTAATCGAACTTGATCTAATCAGTGGCTTGTTGGCGAATACGAGTTGTTTCTCTGTTTTTACAGAATTCAGATTACAAACTCCAGAGATGAGGGGAGGAAAGTGATGCCCCTTGTCTTAGCAGCCTTTCAGCAAAGAGAGCTGGTAGCTATTTTGAGTCCTTTGTGAATAAATACATACTGGCAATCTGAGCAGAATTCATGACACCTTTAAAGCAATGTGTTTTATTTCTTAAAGGCCTAGAGGAACTTTCATTTTGGTCAATGTAAGAAGAATACAAATGCAAGAGTTTTACATAAGAGCCCATTGGATCTGGCCAAAAGCCCACCTAGTCCAGCATCCTGTTCTCACAGGGGCCAACCAGATGTCTGTGAGAAGCCTGCAAGGCAGACATGAGCACAAGACAACCGTTTCCCCACTTGTGATTCCCAACAACAGGCATTCACGGGCACACTGCTTCTGACAGGGGAGGTAGAAGATAGTGGTGTAGCATGGGGGTGAGGGGGACCCATGGCCCCAGGCACAAAATTCC